AACTACGCCACCGCGTGCCCCCTACTTATTGTAACTTCCCAAATTCTGTTTTATGTCGGAAAGAAACCGACTAGACCCCACGCATGTAACGGCAAAACCGACAGTTCTGAGTTTCTGTCCTGAAAAGAAGAATTTTGATGTAGTAGCGGCATAACGGGCCGGTCACGGTAGCCGAGCGGTCTAAGGCATGCACTGTCTTCGCTCGCTCGGAAGCCGGGATCGTGGGTTCGAATCCCACTCAGGGCATGGATGTTTAGTTTGTGTGTGTGCGTTTTTCTGTGTTTGTGTACAGGTAGAGGAATTGCGACGAGCTGATCACCCGCCAAGGGAGTCTTACCGAATGTGTAAGATTTAGAAAAACCGAAGTGAACGGAGAAGTTCATGGAGGTAGGCCTAGGCCCACTGGGGCTGTAGTGCCAAGGGGGGAAAAAGGCAGCATAACGGATTTATCATTGCAGTTCACCGTCAGAGGTCTTGATCTCCTACGTTAACAGCAGTCAGTGCATTGCGTATAAGATGTGTAAACTCAGTAAACTCTCTCGGTTTGAATATTTGTAGTTTTAAATGTGGAATTATCGCCCATGAAAGATCCGAGTGCCCCACTTTTACAGGGCCTTTATAACTGTTAGAGATCGAGATTTTACTTTCAGTCACGTTGTTTCTTCTATCTTTATAATACGAATGGAACTGGGAAGAGTGATCATGCGCACTGCATGGACAGCGTGGGTGATGGGGCCTATATCGAGACTCAGAATTGCTGTAATCTTAGGAGACAGAATTAGCCTAACAGGCTCCCAGTGTTTCCTGACCACAGCACTGTGGTAAGAGCACGAAGTTAATTGTGTCATTTCCAGTTTCATCACGGTTAAACCGTCTCGTGAAAGGTTGTTAATAGATCGCCCTACTTAAACTATGGAACGTCGCTTGTCAGAATCTTCCGCCGGATCCACATTTTCGCAGAGTCGTAAGAGACCGCTAGAAAGGAACAGCCGCCTAATGTCATCATGCTGTAGTTAAATTTATATTACTGTACCTCCTTCTGGGGGCACGCGGTAGCGCAGTTGGTTGAGGCACTGTGCTACAATCCGGAATGTCGCGGGATCGAATCCCGATGAGGTCACTGGATTCTTCAATTGACCTAACTAATCATTCTAGCCGCACTATGGCCCTGAGGTCGACTCAACCTCTAACAGAAATGAGTACAAGGAATGTTCTTGGGGGTAAAGGGCGGCCGGCGCGTAAGGCTGACAACTTCACAGCCATCTTTGAGCCGATTGTCTAGATAATGTGGGACCCTCAACGTCTCACAACCCTATGGACCTTTTTATTGTAGATCATTCTAGTACGTGATAGTCTAATTAGGGCCCGGTTCCAGTCGGCCAGCTTCGCAGTTCTACGTGCATAATCTGGAGACCCACCGTATCACTACTGTACTTGCTTATGGGGGAAAAAATGAGAAGAAAATTTGGGGGCCCAGATTCATCTGAAACGCAGGGTAAACTAGGATTTTTTAATACTCCTGATCTGGTGAACATTGATTAATTATAGCGGTTTTAATTGCAGTTTTATCATTTTTGCTGTAATGCAGACTTTTCGTTAACGACCTACTTCGCTTGCCTTTCGTTTTCTCGCAGCATCGACACTGCATATTTCTTAAGTTGTGGCGATACGAGTTTGTGAGAAAATGCAGTGCGGAGCAGATTAGGCCTCCGGCATGGGGTACGTTGCTACACTTAAAAAATATCCCCAGAGAAGTAATGTGTTTGACCGGAACTACAAGTCTCATAAGTATGTTTTAAGCCTATTGAACTTTACATTGAAACACTTTGTTTCTAATTTATTTTACATTTACATTTCTTTAAACTGCCTAAAAATTAGAGCAAAATAGCACAATTTTTCGGTACCATGAATACTCGTATAATTTTAGAAGGTTCGCATATTCCTATTTTTCAAAGAATGGGTCCCTGGAACCACTACTCCGCGACTGTTTTACTTGTTTTTACTCACGTCTTCATTTACTTATTTAATGATGGTACTAACTCTGAAGTATATAAGGTCGATTAGCTTATACCAGAGGAACAGGTTTTGCATCGTCAATTTATTTTAAATCGATAGGTCTATCGTAAGAACTGTTCAGTTTGATTTCTGTCGATGTGCCAGCGCGTCAAAAAATAATCGTCCCGTATCTCTTTCTAGCTCGTGCAGTGTAGACCTGTAGTGCGGATATGCTGTTAAAATACGGCGTAACCTTCGTGTTTTAATGTGGTAGATATGTTACTATTACACTCATCTCTTTGTCGGCGCCTCAAGCGAGACGTTAAAAATTCAGTGCTCCTTTACCACTTATACTAGGGCCACGGAGACAAGACCCACAGGGATGACGCAGCTCGTGGTATTCCCGTTGTGGCCTTTTGATGTGTTTCCCTCCCGCTCTCTTCTGACCTATATCTATCGACTCAAAGCGGCGTCACTAGTGAAGGTTATCACGTGGTCTGTCAATAGTAGCATCCTCATGAAAAGAATGTGTAGACGCCTGGAGAGGAAAACAGGAAAGTATGCTTCAGGGGGATGTAGAGAAGGGGGTCGATCCATGGGCTTCTTTCCTTGGTTTCAGTATAGGACTGCCTTTTGTAAAATTGTTTTAAATGTTGTGTCTTTGTTGCAATGTGGCGACCTACACGAAAAGTAAGTCATGGTTCCGAAGAACTTTGGTGTTACAATACTTCGTTGTAATCATTACGCGGAGCGAACAGGGAATGCAAGCCTTGGGTCAATTAATGCGCTTTATGGTTGCATGAACCCACAACATGTTTGCACTTCCTTTTATGGGAGCGGAGGCTTTTATCTTTTTTCTTTATGATCTACTTCCAATACACCGCCTCACTTGCTGTCTTTGTCTCTCACTACTTGACACAAAGCGCCAACTAATAATGAATGGAATGTTACTGATGAACTAATTTTGATGACTTCCGATAGCATTTCTTGGAACCATGGAATCCGTGGGTGACAAATAATATGAACGAATTCACACAAGCACAGACATTTACTAATTACAATGTGTAATTCAGGGGGGTGGCTTTTGGGCTGTCATCCCCAGGATCTGGCTGGGATAGTAGTATGGACAGTGCAGACACAGGGTCTGCCGGTAGCAGCTCTTAATGTACTTTGCGTAGAAAGTAAGAACTGTTACGAAACAAGAAAGTTAACCTGCCAACATAAGAGCCCACTTTTTGTATATTGAGTCAGTCCACATGTTTCCAACCTTTATCACCAACAACTATTGATCCATCTGACTCAACTTCTCACAGCCTTACTTAGGATATTCGCCCAAAATGTCGCGTACCTTGTCAGTCCAAAGTTCTATAAAGTTGATTAATGGGATTGAAAGTGAGTTTAACTGTCTGGTGTAATGGACTGTGAAATTTCATTAACAGATATATTCAGCAAGTGGTTTGTATCTTCGTCAACAAGTTGGGTCGCCTTTAATCAAATATGATTCGATTAAAGGCGACCCAACTTGTCAGGCAAGACTGAACATACACAATTACCACATGTTCCAGTAGTAAGCCTTATCCCTTTCAAATCTTAGCACACAGCTGTGTCAGTGGCAGGCTTACCCTCAAGATATCCTACAATCCTGGATGTTGTCAGCACTTTTTTCTTTCAGCTGGTATACTCCAACAGGCATACCAGCAAACAGTTCATGCATACTGGAAAATTTCTGAAAAATTGCACATCTTCTGGTGAATTGTATATTGACATTGAGGCTAAAACCAGGCATGAGAGTCCCAGCAAGAATAATGAATGTATATGTTATTTTTCTGTTCAAAGTTTCAAATTTATGATGTTTCTTTCTCTACATACATATGCATAATTATGTGATAGCAGAAAATGCAGTAGGCATGTACTAGCAGTGTGTTATTTGCATAGGAGATAACCGTTGTTAGTATCATCTGTAATTTAAAAAATGTGCCAGTGTTCAAATGCTGTGGCTGATGGTCAAGCCGGCAAAAGAAATTCAGAAAGTACTACAGTGTAGTTATTAGTTACCTATGTTGAAGTGCATAACACCTATGTAACTTCTTTGTTATGGGTCAGGTATAGAACAACAAAAATTCCATGATCCTTAAAATGAAAATATTTTATTTTTCAATGAAGTGAAAATTATATCGGCTCATTTAGTCATTTTAGTGTCAGTTTGTACATCTTAAGAAAATTTTCTCTTCTGGTCCTGTATATGATGAACATTTTATAGATAAGTGGACCCAGCTCTGTATCTTTCGAGTCAAAGGCTCCTGAGGACTGTAAATTACATGCCAAAGTTTGAAGAACTGGCAACATGTTTACAGCCCAGTTCATGTACATTGGCAGATAAGAGTACAGGGAAACTATGCCAAATTGGTTCCAGGATTTTAAAGGTGAAGTTGGATGAATGTGTATTAGATGGTGATTTTTCATACAATACAAAGGAAATAAAATTTAATTGTTTTATCCTTACTCATTTTGAACATCTTTAGTAAGAAAACAAAAGGGAGGGAGGATTAAAAAGAAGGACCACACAAAATATTTTAATGAAGATGCATCAAACAACATGCATGGTGATTAAAAATAAACGAAATTAAAGTAGTTAAAGTAGCACAAAAATCAGAAAAAATTGTTAAGAGTAAAATTAAAATGCAGTCTTAATTTTAGAAATTGTTGTTATTAACACAAAGTGTTAATTATTCTTCCACTGAATTTTCAGAAATGGGTTGTTTTGAACTGTTACGTGAAATTGAAAAGCACCCTTAAGAATGGTTTACAGCTTTTTTGTGAATGGTCGAGAAATAATTAAAAGCTTATTGTGGATGAGCACAACTCAGATTTCTTTCAGAAGACACGTTTCATTAATGCAGAATTTTCCATTCCTTATTATTAGTGATTTTTCTTATGCAGTTTATCTCTTACGTGGCCACTGTTGCAGAGTAATTAACATGATTATATTTTCCTTTCCATGGCAGGAGTTTGAATGTGACCTGTCTGTGGAGGGCGGTGTTGACTTGGGAGGTCAGGAACGGCAGGAGTTTTCTTTTACCCTCTATGACTTTGATGGACATGGGAAGATTACAAAAGACGTAAGTCTGTTAAACTTTAAGCATGTCTGTGGTTATGATAATTGGAGCAGTCATTTACATAGTGAAATCAAGACAGTTACGGCAAGTGTTACTGCACAAACTCTCCTTTGGATTTTAAACATTTACCTCTTATTGTTGTAAGACAGGCTTTCATCACTATTCAAAAAGGTTAAAAAGGTAAAGTTGTGCTTAACTAATTAAACATTACGTCATGAAGGCTTATGGGGGAGTGGATATATACATCCATATTTTCTTGATCTTGGCACTATTTGGAGGTGAGTGGTCAGCTTCTCACCCCTGCTGCTTTACTCCCCAGGGGAAAGAGCCTCCGGTACCCGTTGGATTGGAGGATGTGGAGGATGTGAAGAAGAGAAAATTCTTAACCCTACTGGGACTCAAACTCCGACCCTTCAGTGGTCCAGCCTGTAGCCAGTCGCTATACCAACTAAGTTATTCCAGTGTCATCACTGTTTAAAAAGTGACTTTATAAAAATAGGGTTTCCTGGAAAATGATGTCTTAATACGAGTACTGGTAGAACAACGTGGATTTATTATCAGCGTTAAAGTTACTTTTTGTATATCTTCCTTCATAATGTTAGTAGTTCTTATTATGTTATTCAGAAATCGTTTTGATGATGTACATGTCTTATGCAGCTTTGGGAGTTGCCTGCTCAGAACGTTACTTAAAATTGCTTTGAGGTGGCTGAACCCAAATTTTGAAGAAAAATGAAAAGATTTTCCCCATGAAATATCATTTAAATGCTTGCCTGATCAGGCATACTGAAAGGAGCGTAATAGTGACGAAAGCCAGCCATAGGGCAGTGACTCTGTCCTGAGCCAGTATCGTTGGGGGTTTTCTTCACACATATCCAAATATCTGTTTTAATCTCCATGGATGTTTTACATTATTTCTGAAAAGACAGTGTTGTTTTCTGTGAGCATTGCAAATTTCTATGCAGGAAAACACTGGACTTCCAGAGAAGAATTTTAACCCCCTTAATGTGCAAAGTAGCTGTAATATTTATTAAACGTTTGAAGTGACCGCCTCTGTGGTCTTGTGGTTAGAGTTTCTGTCTACAGATCCAGAGGTCCGGGTTCGATTTGCAGTGCTACCAGATTTTTTCTGAGGAGTAGTGGGTCTGGAACGGGGTCCAGTCAGCCTCGTGATGATAATTGAGGAGCTATTTCAAGGAAATAGCGGCTCCGGTCTACAAAACCGAAATGAATGGCCATGGGGATTTGTTGCGCTGACCACGTGACACCCACTATCTGCTAAAGTTGGCACTAACTTTTCTGACAAGTGGCGGTTGCTCGGTCAGTAGAGTTTGCTTGTGGACTAAAGCAACGGAGTTTTTTTATGAAGAGAACCTTCTGCATCTTTCATTTTGCATGGTTAAAACACTATGTTATATTATGGACAAAGAACTTTGGAAGATTTCATATGCTGGTGCTGCTTTGAAGGAAACTTCCATTATTTCGGTTCTTGAATTCCATTCATTATTACTTACATGGTGTAATATAAGCTTTATGTATCCTATTTCACAAGTTTCAAGAGTTGGCTTAGTGTAAAACTGATAGTATAAGGGTATCATGTCATAACTATACCTGAAGCAAGGGTTGAATCTCAAAGAAAAGATGAAGAGGTTGTTTTCTTGGGTGATGTTTTCAAAGCAGTTTGACTAGGTGGAAGGTTATATATCAAAACAAAAGGCACTGGGAGGAGAACAGAGGGACAAAGGGATGTCAGTGGAACAGGAACTCATAATGAAATATCATCTGCTCAGCAGCATGGCAAAGTACGTTTTAGTGCAGAATCTCCAAAGAAAAAAATGTGCACTCTTCTGAAGTTTCTTTAAACATTATATGTTTGGAATCCTATTCTGAAAGTTCACAGTTATACAGATTGTAAAGATAAAACAGAGTGACCAGGTTTTGAAGGTCAAAGAATTGGTAAGACAGAAGAAATGAACAAGGCAAAAAGAAGAGAAGGGTTATTTTTACATACATTAGATTTACTTTCTTTTAAAAGTCTTTATAATTGTTATCCACAAATCATATTTATATTGCATGTTTCATCTCATAATGAATGAAAATCCAGCGGATTGAAGGGTGTGTTTTACATCTGCACAGCTAGAATCTGTGGACAAGCTGCCAAAATTGAAAACTGTGGCAAAAAAAAACTCTCTTCTGACTAGATTCAATCTGCATATTATTGCTACTAAGAGATATAGTTGGAGCTGCTTCTTTTTAACATAAAAGTATACCACATTTAGTGTATGATAATGCGCTGTATATTATTTATTTCCATACTAGGACGTCACTGCCTTATGCGGGACTGAACCACTTTATTATTTCAGTAAAGCACAGATTAAGCAGATGTTATGAAGAGGGCTTCATGCTAATCACAGAGTCCTCTTCCTCAAATAAAAGATGTGTATAAATTAAACAAGGAATACAGGTCCCTGAATATTACACTCTTCATATTATTAAAGCATGAGGCAAAACACTAATTTGGCAGTTCCTTTTATGTGGGTAGAATCATTAACTTTCTGATATAAACCATTAAGTAGGAATAGCATAGGCCACATAATCCAGTGACTGTGATGTAAGTTTGTGTTAGCAAGCAATATTCCAATACAAAGGAAAGTTATGATTTGTTTACCGGTCAGTTCCATTTTTTGTGCAGATCTTTGGTCTTATGAAGAATATTCCTATTCAGATATCTCGCTTGTCACACTTGCTGTCAGTTTTCAAAGAAGGATTAAATATTCCCTACAAGCATACTTTTGTTTTACTTAAACTTCAACACAGCAGTTTATTAGCTTTTCTTTAGAACTTGTGGATTAATGAGATCTGTTGGGTGGATAAAAGCATAGCCAGATTTCAATTAAGTTCTTTATATTTATATAAAACATTTTCTTGTGCCTTATATACTGGAATACAGTCAAAGGAGGTTTTTACTTACATCAGTCTAAAATCTTAGAAAGGTGATAAGACAATATTAAATATCATCTTTTATGGTAGTATTTGACTATGCTATACAAAAGATCTCATTTTACAAGGCATTAAGGTGAAGCTTGATTCTTGGATGTCTGAAAGCAAGAATTAACTCTTGTCAGGTTATATGAACTTAGTTCATCTCAGGCAGCACATATACTCATATTATAAATGTTAAGTTTTGACAAATGACAAATAAATTCATTCATTGTAACTGTCCTTTGACTTGCTGGATATATACAGTAGTGTGTCACATTTCTTGAGATTTGAGAGATGATTATTGATTTTGAAACTTTCTCATTTGTGTTTTTTGTTAACATCTCACTGGAGGTTACTGTGCAAAGAGCCCTCATATGTATGTATGCTGTATCTTGTGTCACGGCCATAAATCTTGATTTCTTATTGCAGGACATTGCTGGTTTGGTGACAACAATTTATGACACCTTGGGTTCATCCATCAAAGTTCCACATTATGGCAGCAAGACGATAAAGGTGAAGCTGACAGTATCTCCGGATCAGCGAAAGAAAGATGTTGCTCAAGATGCTGTGCCTGCAGGAGGTGATGTGCCCAATAACAACAGCTACAATAATGTCAAGTGCAACAGCACCTACCCAGGGGCTGGGGGCCCATCTCCCCATCAGGGGAGTTCCACCCACAGAGTGAAGTTCAAACGTGACTTAAATGTGACGATAAGGGAATCTCATATGCCTCGAAGACTGCATCGGAGAAGAAGATGCAGTGGTGGGAGCGGGACTGCACCTGTGTCAGAGGACAAGTATGCAAATAGCTGCAGTAGTAGTTGTAGAAGTGCTGCTAGTGAGAATAATGATGATGGGGCAGCTGACATCTCTGAGGATGACAATGACGAAGAGCTTGCACCTGAAGACATGCCTACGGATAGGGAACTGGGATCCCAGCACTCTCCACCTAAGGCTAGTCAAGAAAAGTGAGTTTGAATTTGATGATAATATGCAGATTGTAAAATATTACATGCTGCACATACTTCAGGTGTCATGGTCTCATGACTTTTTTTATTATGATTTGTTCATTTCATATAGAATTTCATGAAGCACTAATCCCGTTAATTAGTATTATCCAAGGAAGAAGAAACCTCACAGAGTGGCTCTTAGTAATCAATACTTTTGTTCTTTTTTGAGTTAACAAGAGAGGGATTAAAACAGGGTAGACAGCATGAATGTAGTTGTGTTTTAGAAATTGGGTGATATCACATGTTGGTTTTAGAGGATTCTGAATGTTCATTCTTCTTTTGGGGAATGCCACATTCTATACTCATACTGTAAACAGGGATAATCAACACTTGGGCATTCAGGTCACATTGAAAGATTTAATGTGAAACTTGGGCCTTCTTTGCTCTGCAAAAGAATTAACATGTGATTCAATTTTTGAAATACTGGTTCACATATAATTTAGGCATGCATTGGCAATACTTGAACAGAACAGATTTGTTTTGTTTCGTATGTGAAAAAGTGTGTATACACGTGTATATGTATACATATGCTAGTACAGCTACAAAATTTTGTGTAACGTTATATATAACTCAGAACCTGAGATGGTGGTAAAGAAGCATAAAACATAGATAAAAGTTCCCTGATTGAAACATATATGCAAAATCAAGTTTAATAAATTCAAGCTGCAATTGTTCAGGCTTCAACAGATAATGTGTTAGAAATATGAACAGCATGGCTACAAAATTAACTGAATCTCATTTTAAAATTCTTAGCCAAAGAATCAGTGATTCATATACCATGGATACTTGGAAATGGAACAGTTACTGATCCATCCTTCTAAAGTGAATCACACGAGGAAAAATTACACAGGTTAGCACTTCCCAGTTGTTTCCAAAACAGTACCAGCTTATTTCAGAAGCTCTTGACAGCCCAAAAATGAATAAGATTTTAGGTACCCACACTGGTGGTTATGAAGAATTGTCTGTTCTGGTATATAATACTGTGCAGTCTGTTTAAAGTCCAGTGACATTTTGAGGGAACACGTATCCTCCATTTGGTTTCTTATTTGGCTTACTCTGCATCCCTAAAGATGGAAGTGGTATGTTCCCCCAAAATGTCCGTTGACTTTCAACAGACTACACAGCATTATATTCGAGAAGATAGAACCCTTTATATCAGAAATGGGTCTGTTGGCCTAGGAATTGAATATTTAAGTAATTTAAGTGATGGCTGATATAAAATAGCAATGCCAAATCCCAGAGCCACTTTTGACGACTAAATTCAGTTACAATTGTTGCCTTTTTCATTCATGAACATTTTGATTTCTAGCATCAGAACTTAAAAACATTTCACTACTATCTTGCAGCTCTGCCATTGGACTTCTGTATGGTATAAGACACCATCACCATCAATTTTTGACAAAAAGGCTTGAAACTGGCATGAATTAATTTCATGGGACTGAATGAAGTTCACAGCTGACACCACAATTGTCATGACACGATTTGCACTCAAAACATTTCTCTGCAGGGTGACTGTTGATGGATGATTGAGTGATGTTCTGTGTAAAATTCTCAATTTTCTTTTTGCACATTTCTTACCTAATTCTATCCATCAAATGCATTTTCTTTTCAGGCAGACATGGAGCATTCACTTTCCATCGTCACCCACATATTGTGTTCAGGGCAGCTCAAGTTCCTTCATGGTTTCACACACGTTCAGTCATGTATGCACACACCCACCCACCCTACCACACTTGCACATTCACATACAAAATAATAAATCTCCCGTTTGTGTGCTGTGTTGTCTTTTAAGTTTAGTTCTTGACCACCCCAAATGATTATGTTATGCCCAGAATGACTAAATAACTGAGCAGTATCATTTGTGTCATTTTTCTCATCGAGTGCTAAGTAAAAGTTTTCAAATTCTTTTGCTTTGTTTTCAGAATCGATTAAGGAGGTCACTCCTAATAACTTGAACTGTGGTGTCACTTGAATGTGAGAAACTTACAGTGCTAAAAGTGGTTTCCCCTGCACTGTGTGTTGCATTTTTTCATACAAAATCGTTGTTGGAGAAACGTTTGCTTTCTTTAGCTAACAAGGGGCAACACTGTATCTTGCCCCTAGTGCAGAGGAACAGTCACTGGATTGTTTTCTGAAGACATTGTTTTGTCGCTCCAGCTCACTTTTTAAAGTTGCCAGTGATTCTCTTCTTAGAGTACCAACACAGCTTTGTACCTTTTTCTGCTTTGAATTGTAATGCCTAGTAATATCATATCATAGGCTGTGCCATAGCTCAAGCGGTTAGTCGCTGGCTTCCCACCGCGGCGGCCCAGGTTCGATCCCGGGTCTGGTCTAGTGGGATTTGTGGTGGACAAAGTGGCGCTGGGGCAGGATTTCTGAGTACTTCAGTTTCCCCTGCCAATCTTCATTCCACCAATTACTTCACAATCACCCTCACCTATCATCCGGGGCTGGTACAATAGGCTGGAAGTGGCCACAGTACAAGGGACTTGGTCCCACCCCACTAGCAATAATAAAAAAAAAGTCATATAATACCTCTACTTTACTGGTAATTTTATTTATTTAACTGAGGAAGAGGTAGCAAGATTTCTGCATTTGTGTAATTTTTATTTAAGTATGGATGAAGAATGTCGTCAGAATATATTGTCACGCGTTTAGTTACTTAAGACGCCGTTTGGATTGTTAACTGGTTTATTTAACAACCTACAAGTATCGGCTACAATTAATTACAACAATATTACGGGTTTACACACGTTAGAACCCTACACACAAATCTGTCCACTCGTATCACGATTCGCTCGTTACAACTGAACTTGGTGACTACCACAATTCAACTGGTAACTCTCCGCTGGCTGGATTCCAACTCAACTCGTAGGCAGCTGCCTTGAGAACTGTCTTCGGCGGCTGTGTAGTTCCCTTATAAACCCTCAGCCAGACAATGGGAAAACAGTTACGTAATAGGTACCACTGTTGTCTGACGCCATGTTTGCTGATAGCCTAGCAATGCTGTTGGGAGTTGTTTACTGCTACGTAGCAACTGCGGCGTCCCGTGTTACGTCACCGCTGTCTACTCGCTTTGCCTAGCAACCGCTGTTTACTCTCTTTGCTTAGCAACCAGTGTTTACTCACTTTGCATAGCGACCAGTGTGCTGGGACTCAGCTCTCTTCGGCTCCGCTTGGCACGTCACGGCTGGCGGGGAGGGAGGGGCGTCATCCATAGTGCAACACGTCACACTGCTCCCTCCTTAAGGCTGTTCGTCCCGAATAGCCTAACAGTCTTTGGAGGCTGTTCTTGCAGCATCTTCCTTGTGTCCTGCTACTGTTTCTCTTCTCCCCGTTGCTCTGCTCTCCAACTGCTACATCTTCCCCCTTTTTATGGTTGCTCGTCTCGAGCAGCTCCATGATAAGGCGCGAGCCGGTCGAGGTGTACAACCAACATCCTTGACCTAGGGGTCCTCTGGATTCGGTATACCACATCATTTATCCGGGTCACTACTTTGTAAGGACCTTCCCACGATGCTTGTAGTTTCGACGATTTCCCTTTCCTGTGGGTTGGGCGATAGAGCCAAACTCTGTCGCCTTCGTCTTAACCTGCGGAATTGGCCAGTTTATCGTACCGAGTTTTCATCCAGTCACTGGCGAGCTTCAGGTGTTGTCTGGCATAATTGTGGATGTTGTGCAGATGATCCACCAAGTCTGCTGCATACTCGGTTGTGGGGAGTTCTTTGTCTGGGGGTACCCCAAACAGCAGGTTGCAGGGTAGTTGTAGTTCTCGACCGAACACTAGGCTAGCAGGGGTCAAGCCTGTAGTGTTGTGAGTGGATGCCCTGTAAGCCAGGAGAAAGAGGGGTAACCTCTCATCCCAGTCCCTTTGGTGGGATGTGACGACCTTCCGCAAGTGCTTCTCAATGGTCTTGACGTAGCGTTCCACCATTCCATCTGACTGTGGGTGCAGGGGTGTGGCGCATGTCTTGCTCACTCCCAGGCATTGCAAAACTTCTTGCAGTAGATGAGACTCGAAGTTAACTTCTGAATGAACATAATATCACAGGCTTTTTAAAATCATGGGGAAAACAAAATTTTCATGCCATTTCTATTCTCTTAATGGAAATACTGACAAGTGACAGCCACCTGGATACCTATGTAAGCAGCGGCTGGTGTGTAACAATTATTGCTAGTGTTGGAACTTTGATGTCTGTTTTCCAAAAATTAAGGGGGTAATGTTAATGTTAGTAGTCTGTGAGATAAGGATTATTTTGCTCAAACTGCCATTGAAATGCCACTGTTAGCCATAAGGCAGGATTTGCATAGATATGGCCATGGGGTTTTTAAGTTTTAACTGCCACTTCTTTCTTCCTGGTAGCAGTTTTTGTTACTTGCAGTAGGGCTGCTGAGAATTAAGAAACTTAAAACTGTTTAACTTATGCTGTATTTGATAGGCCATGTTTAAGGCATATTTATGTATAGCATTTACGGACTCTTTGTGTATATTCTTGTGCAGTGGAAGGACACATGCAAGGCGGTATCAGCAGCATACACCTGCCCGTTATCGGCATCAACATGGTGTCTACTGCCCAGGGGAGACTAACACCCCTCAGCTGCTGCGCCAACGCAGTAAGAAACGTTCAAGCTCTCTACAACGGGAGGAGCTGCTGCAGATCATCCAGGCCAATATGGAGAAGAACAATTTAAGTTTTCAAACCTCAAGGTATGTAAGTCTTAAAAAATACCTCAGTCAGATCTTGGTTTACGAGCCTGAGTTTTATAAATGTGGAAATTTTGTTACATGTAAGGGGCAGACCATGTTTTTTGTAAGGTACCAAAACGTAAGATTTGAGGCTTTCACGGCGGTGACTATGAAGAAAGCGGTCTTCTGGGATTTGGCACCGTGTATATGTGGTGTTAACCGACGTTCCTCCGAAACGTCGGTTAACACCATATATACACGGTGCCAAATCCCAGAAGACTGCTTTCTTAATACGAAAACGGTTTTAACTTTTATTATTATAATTGGTTGATTTTACTTCTGCCTCTAATTATATGTGTCCTTGGCATAATAATGATTTATTGTGCTGCATTTAATGTTATTCCATACTTTTGTAAGCCCACACTGTGATGTGGAAGTCATATTCAAAATAATTGTTTTGGGGTTCATTTTCCGAAGACCATGTTTACTCTTTGGACCACACAGGTGTGTTTTGCATTTATTATTTTTATGGTACACAGTGAATCTGCCATGTGTCAAGTTTGCATATTTTTCCAGAACCATTTTTGCCATTACAGAATGTTGTTTCTTTTCCTTCCCATGAATGTTGTATCAGATTCTAGGTTTACTTATGACAGTCAAGAGTTGCTGAATCTTCTATATATACCCAGTAACTCAAGGTGAAGTAAATAATAATGTAGTCTGTACATGCAGGAAACAGTGTGGCAACCGAGGAGGCCCAGGAGATCGTCATTCTCACTATCGAAACCGACACAAGCTATTGCAGCAGCGTGAAAATGGAGTAGCAGCCCAAACACAACTTCACTGTCTTGCAAATGTGGAGGATTATCCCAGTTTCTCGCAGGATCCTCGCAGTAACTATTATTTGGATTTAGCAGGGTTTGAACCTTTTCGGACATTTGGAAAACCACAGCGTTGTCACTATGACCAGGACTGCCATTATGATAAGTTCCTGGGTGCTGTAGTGTGTGCATCATCAAAACACGCAAGTATGGGTTACCACCAGCCTTGTCGAACCAGAGGACATAACAGATCAAGATCTCATGATCTGTCCCATGCTGCAAATTCATTCCAGTACCATTTGCTGGACACATCGAATGAACCTCCTCCCCGTTCATACATGGAGGGTGGAACCCCACATGGCTACCACCATGCCAGGCTTGGTCATCATGCACGATCGAAGTCACATGAGGCAGAATATGAAAGCTTGGAGCAGCACCGAATGCCACCATATCGACAACAGGAACTCAAGTTTCCGCCCATTGTACTTGGTCATTCCTCCTCCCCACATCACCTGAAGCATAGAAATCGTGAGCAGGATCAGGCACGGGCAATGAAACAGGTTGTGCGCTGGCTAGAACAAGAATTTTCCTCCAGCCTAAACACTACAGAAAAACTCAATGCCAAGAATGCTGCCACGAATGAAACTAAAACACCACCCAAAACCCCATCCAGAAATGTGAAACAGCCACATAGTCAGATGCCCGAATCTCCCAAGAGGGATGAAACTCCAAACAGTCCAAGTGCTTCATCGTCAGTGGAGAGACACGAACATCATCATGTACATGAGCACATTCATCATCATTATCATCATTATCAGGATACACCAGTACTTGTCTGAGTGATGGTCTAAAGACTTGTAGAACTCATAACAAAATATCAGTATTTAAATTTCAGAACTGCTGTCTCTCATCTGTCCATTCATTATTTCATGCGTAGCATGAGAAGTGTGCAGCATTAGCAAATGTTTTGAGTGATAGCACTCAACACTCAGGAACTGTGCATTCTGTAACCTCATCCTGGGAAATAAATGAAACTAGTCGTGTAAGTGACAGTGTACTTAACACTGCATTACTTTTACTCTCCCTACCTTGTAAGCTTTACTTCACAGTAGAAGATATATTAGTGCAGATAAAACTGTTCTTAGAGTTGGTGAAATTGCAACTTGGTTTTTGATATTGGACTAAAGAGATGACTCCTTTTGAAAGCTATGACCTAGTTGCAGACTTTGTGAACCTGAGACGTGAATAAAAGAGCATCATCTACCTCTGTTGAAGGGATGTGTCTCCCCATCTGAATTTTTAGTACTTGTGCGTATATTATATGGTCAGTTTCTTTACTCATATTGATTAGTGCACGTAAAATGGCCATCTTGAAATATGTGAGATGGATTTGTATAATATTTTCAACAAGAGAGAGGTGGGTACCATGACTGCCATGTTGAACTGAAAATTATTTCTGTTGTATTCTTAACATTATGTGGTCACCAGATTTCAAAGAATGTTAAGTTTGTAAGCATCTGTGTAGACAAATGTACAGTGCTGATTGATATGAATGTTATGTCTACATGCATTTTACTCACATGCGTATGTTTACATATACTATGATGATAACACATAACATTAAAATTATGTCATTAAAACATCTTGTCTTTTCATTGAGGAAGGCGGTGCTGGTCTGTAATAAGAATACTGATAGATCACTGTGGTCACAGTGGGCCAAGAAGGCTCACCCCTTATACAAGAATACTGATAACATATTTCCTTTTATTTGAAGATGAATATTAAATCTACAGGTATGTTTCGCATGCTTTTGACTGTTCATAAAACTACAACTGTAATGCTGTTCACTAAAAGCTATGTAATCCATCACTCTAAAATCTATAAGACCCTAAACCAGGTCCTATCATATACTGTCAGTATAAAGCTTCATTTTAATTTCTGTTACTTGCATTGAGACATCTGGAAAGCTTTCCTAACTGCAGTATTTTCATAGACTATAAGTTGTGTTACTGCTGTGTAGTATCAAAATGGTGCTACTTGGAGTGCTTTGGCAGCATTTGTAGAAGTGGTTTTTAAATCTCCTTTTCAGCAGTTAATCCAGAGGATGCCTTTGCTATTTCCTCTGATTTAAAAATTGAAAGAGGAAGGAATTTAGAGAAGTCTGACATGAACTTCATAAGTTCATAATGACATTAAGGTGCAGAGAATTTGATTTGATTAAATTTATTTGTATCAATTTATCGGAGGCATTAAAAAATATTGTTCTACACAAGTCAGGGTTTGAACAATTTGACAGTGAATTGTTTGAGTGTTTTTTTTTCTAACGTGAAGTGAAGCGAAGCAAAGCATTACCATTTTCAGAAACCTGTATGGATAAAATGCTTTCATTTACAATGAAATGTAAGTAACTGAGCATGTACTTCTTCAGATAGGTGTACATTTTAAGAACCAGTTAGGATTGTAGGAAGAAAAATAAATCTGTGGCAGAAGAAGCTGATGATAAATATTGTAAGCTTGATTAACCTGAGTACTGTATCCCATATCTGTTTCAGATGACAAAGTTTTTGCTGTACACATTGCAAATATATTCAAGTCTTTCAGTAGTGAGGGACCTAAGATCAACTGAAGTAGATGGAACCGTACACATTCACACTCGTATAATACATGTATAAGAACACGGATCAATTCTCATCAAAATCTGTCAAAGAACCGAAGTTACACATGAGTGCTAATTTATGTCTGAAGTAACATGGCCTTCAAAAATGAAGAAACTACACCGGAATAAAACAAAATCTAGACAACGTTTTGTATAGGTCTGTGAAATCCGGTTTGTTTAACATAAAGGCAGTGTGAGCGCCGATACGTGCAGACGGATGGACACGATGAAACTAACAGGTAGTTCTGAACACACCCAGCATGTGTGATTATCATTCACTGCTTATTACACTACTTTCTGTGGTATATATAAAGGATGTCAAATGTTAATTTTCATCAGTGTACAGGTGAAAAGGTTACAGAGAATGCTAAAAATTTGCTGAAACAAAGAATACTATGATGTGAAATCATATCTCCATTTTAGGTCAGTTTTTAAGACCACTTAGCTAATAATGGGAAATGCATCGTTCTTTGGCTAAACAGGATAAAGGCTAATTTTGTGTCTTCGTAAATATATTCCTAGTGTATGGCCATCAATATTGAGCATTCAGCTGTTCAAGAAATTCTCTCTTTAGAAAACCTGAAGGATCCTCATTCATCACCAAATCCTGCCATTACATTCTACAACAAGTAGTGATGGTGATTTAGTGGTCTCTTCCATTTACATAACAGGCTCACTTCCTGAACATCTCGTGCTATGGTGAAGCCAGATCGTTAATGTAGACACAATTGGGTTCCATTTTCAATTATAGTCCTGCAATATCATCTGGGTGTTTTAACAGCCCCCTCTCTCTATGAAACACTTTGACTCTGGAGGCATCAGTATATAGATATACTCGTATGCCATGAATTTGATACAGTTCTGGGAATTGAGTGGCTGAGCAACTGCTGTTTTCTAAAGAATGAGCTAGCTCTTCAGAGTTAGTTACTTGATCATTTCTACAGCTAAGTATTCAAACCACACTGTATTATCATCTTCATCACTGAACAATGCTGTCTTCTGGGAAGTGGCGCTGTGTATATGTTGTGTGAGCTGACGTTTCAGGGGCTCTTTTCCAGGGGTAGAGGATCCGGGGCATGGAGATGACCACTCACTGCCATTTAGTGCCAAAATCAAGAATGGTGGAGCTGTCCATCAAATCCCCATATATTTTCATCATACAGTGCTTGGTTAGTTAAGCACAGGGACAACTTTACCTTTACCCTTGCCTATTAATATGCTGGTTTGGAAACACTCCAAACATTTACTTTCCTTTGAAAGATACCTAATGTCTCTTCTGCTGGCATTGATGCCAGTAAGGGGTGGGTTTATGGATGAAAAACCTCCAACTCTGTTTGCCTTGCCACAATTTTTAAGCTTGCACCTCTGTCCGTACTGCTCCTCTGTTTGTAATATTATGAGCCCCTCGGGTAAGGCGCCTCAGTCTGGTCTCCTGACATTCTAGTATAGTTCCCATTAAGCAGTGAGATGATGCATGGGAGACCTTCAAATATACCCACACTCCCACAGTTATTCATCTTTGCTTGAGTCCACATGTTTCTCCTGCTTGATATATCATCCATCACTCACATGGGTAAGTCATCTTGATTTGAACTGTCCTTTGGATCTTTTGGCTTTTAACCTATAATTCCAAGCCCCTACCATGCCATCTGATTACATAAACTGTTTTAATATATCCCAATTACTGCAATTTTTTCATTCATGAAATTCCAAATTCTATCCTCATGTTTCTGCAGAGCTTTCTCTGCCACTTCTTTGTTTATGAACTGAATGTAAGCCTCCCTTGTACTCCTTCCCATGTAATTCTGTTGAGCACTATCTCCAGCCCCACCCAACCAATTCCATTTTGCTGCGGCCATTGTTGCATTTGTATGTCATTTGCCACAGACAAAGCAAAATGTAATAGGACAACTTGAATCACCAGTCCATAAGTAGTGTGGGAACTGCCCACATTCAAGCAAATGTGACAATGCAAGTATCATTGCTTAGCAACAGTGAGTAAACAGGGGTTGCTAGGCAAAGCCTTCAACAATACGGACAGTGACATGTTTTCTATATGTCCGACTCTAGGTTATATAAGAAGATACATTGAGTGGAAATTTACAGTTCTAGAGTTCTACAGTAATACAATTCTAGTTCAGTGTTCAAGGAGTTCACTATTATTTTCAGTTCTTCAAACTCAAGTTCATCTGTGTATACTGTGCAACTGTAATAAATATTATAGAACAGTTCAACAAGTAGTTGTCACTTTATATATCGACATCCTACATTCGTGACCCCGACAACAAAATATATTTCGTCAATAAACAAGTGGTAGAAGACTGTATAAGTGAAATTTGTAAGACATTTTACGTGAAGAATGGCAGATAACGAGCAGAAAGCTATGCAGTTGATGGCAGAAGCAGAAAAGAAATTAAATTCGTTGATAGGCTTTTTTGGATCATTATTTGGTGGATCTTCGAAAGTGGAAGAGGCGATGGAATGTTATCAACGAGCAGCAAATATGTTTAAAATGGCAAAAAAATGGGGTGCAGCAGGAAATGCCTTCTGTGAAGCAGCTTCTCTCCATGCAAAAGCAGGAAACAAACATGATGCAGCAACCAATTATGTGGATGCTGCAAATTGCTTTAAGAAGTCTGATCCTAACGAGGCTGTGAACAGCTTGTTGAAAGTTATTGAGATCTATACAGACATGGGGAGATTCACAATGGTAGCAAAACACCATCAGTCAATTGCAGAATTATATGAAACAGAAGCTGTAGACCTTGATCGTGCTGTACAACATTATGAACAGGCTGCTGATTACTTCAAGGGAGAAGAAAGCAATTCATCAGCCAACAAATGCATGCTGAAAGTTGCTCAGTATGCAGCACAACTTGAAAACTATGATAAGGCAATACAGATATATGAACAGGTGGCATTTTCATCTTTGGAAAGTTCTCTCCTGAAGTACAGTTGCAAGGGATACTTTTTCCGGGCAGCCCTCTGTCACTTATGTGTGGATGTCCTGAATGCTCAGCATGCCTTGGAGCATTACCAGGAATTATATCCAGCCTTTCAGGATTCACGAGAATATAAGCTGCTCAGGGTATTGATTGATCACATGGAGGAGCAGAATGTGGATGGTTTCACTGAAGCAGTGAAGGATTATGACTCAATTTCACGGCTAGACCAGTGGTATACAACTATACTGTTACGCATAAAGAAACGGGTCGAGGACAATCCTGATCTTTGTTGAACTTCCTCTGTTGTCATGGACGCAGCCTTGACATCAACGAGCTTTGTTGTCCTATGAACACATTGTCACACTTCCCACAAACCAATATGAAACAATGAAAATCATAACAGTACAGTCTCTTAATAATAGACATATTATTTTCCAGTTAAAAAAAAGCTGATTACATTAATTACAACTTCACATTTTCTTTGTTGCATCTGCATATTAGGAAATAAGTAATCTAGTTTCATATTTGGGATCTTTGGTTGTGTTACATGCTGCAACACATTTAAGGAACTGAGTGAATGGGAGCAAGATCTCCCAATCACATAATTTCCTTTAAGGAGGATAAAAATTATTTACATCTGTTTTCCATTTTGTCCAATATGTACGAGTAAATGTTTTGTTAATATCGTTCCTAATAAAGAAAGATAATTATTCCAGTATACAGAGTATATGGATGCATGGGAAGAAAAACAACACGATGCTGGTATTACAAACAGACCAGTACAACAGAGACACCAAGAATTGGCGTGCAGCTTCCACCGTTTTGAGCCGACAGACCAGCAGTTTGGTTCACTCAAGCCGAAGTACAGTTCACTTTGGCCGGTATCAGTAGCGAGCAGACCAAATTCTGCTATGTGATCTCACAGTTGGACCAACATTACACCTCAAAAGTAGAGGACATCATCACCTCTCCGCCGAAACGCGACCCATACACAAAGCGCTGAGAACGGAACTGGAAAGATCACTATCCTCAAAAGAGCAGCGCATCCACAAGCTCCTTATGCTAGAAGACATGGGCGACCGCAAACCTTCCCAGTTTCTAAGACACCTCAGAAGCCTCGCCCCAGACATGCCAGATGACTTACTCTGCTGCATCTGGTCCAACTGACTACCTTCTCATATAAGGGTCGTCCTTGCAGGCCAACCCAAGAACGACTTGGACCCCATAGCCCGCTGCGCGGATCGCATTATAGAAGCCGCACCCCAGCAGACACTCGCGAGTGTGGCGCCCCCCCCCCCCCCCCCCACGCACANGAATGATACTTGGAAATATGTAGGAGATCTTTGATGCCAGGTGGAAACACAGTAGCTTTCATTATAAGGACAGGCATTTTATTGTATCTGCTGTTGAACTACTGCAGTGAAATTTGTCAGAGGCTTGTGATTCTTCATCACTAACCTCATCAGATTTGTCCATATGCCTAGGACTAAAGTGTAAAACACAAGGGTTAATAAAATATAAAATAGTATTGAATGATAGATAAATAAACGAGAAAATTGCATAAAAGAATGAGAACTCCGCAATGCTTCCAACCTACAAAATCGACCTTATACGACGTTTACAGGAAGCATGTGCCCTTTTCCTTCCCGACAGTGTTGCTAGCCACCACATGCCCATCCTCCATTTGCTGCACCCTTTTATGCAAGTTACCACAAAAGAATGAAAACGATTGCAAAGAACAATTTATTTCCATTTTGGCACACTTATTTCCAATGAATTTAAACATTAATTGCTATTATGTCATTAAGATTTTTGAAATGATCAAACAACTCATTTAAATACTGAACAACCAATGAAAATTTTAATAATTGAAAAGGCAATAAGCAAATTTTATTTTTTGTTGTAAGTTGTATTTTCCAACATTCTATTTAGCAGACTCTCTCCCTCTGTGGAAGGTATAATTGGGGATTACCAATGTGGGTTTCGTCAAGGAAGATCAACTAGCGATCAGCTTTTCACTATTTGACAGGTCCTTGAAAAGTGTAAAGAATTCCAAATTGAAACAAATCATCTTTTCATTGACTTCCAATCAGCCTATGACTACACAGATAGAGATAATCTTTTTCTGGCAATGGAAGAGATGCACATTTCACGGAAGTTAACTGTCTTAGTCGGAGCCACTATGAGAAAACCCAATGCCAAATTAAGATTCAGAATATGTTGTCCAGCCCTATGATAACTAGAAATGGAGTTCGACAAGGGGATTCCCTAGCCTGCCTTTTGTTCAATATAGCATTAGAGAAGGTAGTTAGAGATGCAGGCATCAACACAAGGGGAACTATACAAGTCAGTTTAAATTTTGGCATTTGCAGATGATATTGATATAATTGGTAGAGCACAAAAATCTATGAAAGAAGCTTTTCTTAATTTGGAAAGAGCAGCAAAAAAGATGAATCTACAAATTAACCAAAATAAAACAAAGTACATGCCAGTAACCAAGAAAGACTGCTAATGGACCTACATATATTGAAATTGGCTCATATAAATTTGAGGTTGTATGTAGTTTCACTTACCTTGGATCAGAAGTTCACTGTAAAAATGATATCAGCGATGAAATAAAAAAGTGTGTACTTGCAGCAAATAAATGTCTCCATGGCCTTAGGAAACACCTGAAATCCCAATTAATACCCAGCAAAACCAAAACTATCTTGTATAAGGTACTTATAAGATCAGTGCTATCTTATGCCTCTGAGACCTGGTCACTGTCAAGATTGTATGAAAGACTGTTAAGTATATTTGAAAGGAGGATCTTGAGATATATCTTTGGACCAGTGGAAGAAAATGGAATATGGAGGAAGAGGTATAACCATGAGCTATACAAACTATTTAATGAACCAGACATTATTGGATTTATAAAGGTGAAAAGGCTTGAATGGGCTGGACACATAATACGTGCCGGCGAGAATAGAACCATCAAGAAAGTGCTCAACACCAAACCAGAAGGAAATAGGAGAGTGGGAAGACCAAGGTTAAGATGGGAAGAATGTGTGTGGCAGGATATAAGAATTTTGGGTATAAAGAACTGGAGGAATGTAGCATCGAATAGAGAAGAATGGCGAGCAATCCTGAGGAAGGCCAGGGCTCACAAAGGGCTGTCGTGCCAGTGATGATGATGATGATGTAAGTTGTAAACTCCAAATGTAGGAAATAGATAGCTTTTAGTGATCTTTAGTAATATAAGCACACATAAGTGTGAATATGAAAACTACATATATATTCATGATTTCTTGCTCAACCCTAGGGTCCTATGGAACCCTGGTTGAGAAAAACTGTCCTAGGGTAACGTTCTGGTAATAACAAATAGCTGCTTTAACAGAAGACTGTTATTAGACTCAAGGTAGGTGGAAGTGTTTAAGAAATATTCAAAATTCCATGCAGTCAATACAGGACACAAGCATTATCCTCCTGGATCATTTACAAATGTTACAATCTATCACATGGGAGTATAGTATGCGGGAACAAAATTTTGTACCCATCTTGCACCAAAAATTAAATGTTTATCGCCCAACAACAAGAAATTCAAAATATCACTGAAGATAGTTCTTTCGATTCAGAACGTGTACCTTGAAGTTTAATTTCTGTTTTGAGTTAAGTGCATCTCTACTAGTCATTGGTCAGATTGCCAGACAGTCAACATATTTCAGTCACATTATGATTAAATTAGTGCAGCAAGGTGCAAAGTACGAATTGTATGTAAATGTGTCTGATTGCAACATATTTCTGTACCTATATTTGCTTATGTGTACTGCATCCAAGTGTGTTGTTGTCTGTACTGCTAAGAAATGTTACGCTAACTGCAGTCATGTGTCTGCAGTGCATAAACTTGTATGTACTTTCTATCTTTGAATGTACAGCAAAATTGCTGTACAGTTACTCATAGTGTGGCTGTGTATGTGATTGAATCTGTTGTGTTTCCAAATGTGTTGTGTGATATAGCCCATACCATTCTGTCTAGAGCTGATGGGATACAGATGTCTATCTGTGTACCTCACTGGCAGCGATGATTTTCAGAAACTGGGACACACCTCATGGTCAGTTCACTGTCAACCTGACTGGCTGTGCAAGATGGTCTGAGGTATTCAAGGAACCAAGCAAATTTTCTCTCAGCTTCAGAATTAATCAACGGAGAGATAGCATTAGAATTTGGGAGAAGAGGTTTCATGTGGTGGTAAAATAACAGAAGTAGGGGATGAAGAAAGCAGTCTTCTGGGATTTGGCACCGTGTATATGTGGTGTTAACCGACGTTTCGGAGGAACGTATCGCCTCCATCTTCAGGGTAGAAGAAAAAGTATAAGAAATCTGCAAGCGACAAGACCGTGAGAACGGTAAAAGCAGACTGCTTTTACCGTTCTCACGGTCAAGACAAATCACAATGAGTAAGTCGTTAAAACAGTTATAATATATATATGTAAAAGAAATGATACATACTAATATGACACAAGACTACAATAATGAAATATAAAAATATACCACTAGGCATCTGGCGTATAACAGACCAAGATCGTTAATTAATATTGAAGTTAAAATATTCCTCCAATGAGTAAAATGAATCTTTTCAAAACAAATCTAAATTGTTTCATATAATGAGCTAAGTTCTTTGTGCTAGAAGGAAGATTATTAAAACCGTTTCCAAAATAGTATGTTTTGAAATACTATTACATTACATATTGGTTAATGAAAATTGTTATTGTGTCTTGTATTAACGCTATGAATCTCAGAGTGAGATTTAAATTGTTCTCTGTTTTTAACCGTAAATAGTAAGAGATAAAATATGTACTGTGATTGGAAGGGCAAAATTTTCAGTTTCTTAAACGATTCCCTGCAAGAGTCTCTACTTCTAGAGTTAGTAATAATTCTAATTACTCTTTTCTGTCTCCTAAAAATATGAACTCTATGGGGAGAATTGCCCCTGAAAATTATACCATAGGTCATAACAGAATGAAAATATGAGAAATAAATCATTCTTATTGTTTCTTGTGACATGTAAGGTTTAATAGCCCAGATTGCATAACAGGTCAAACCTTATTTAGACATAGGCCATTCAATATGTCCTTTCTACAGTTTAGTTATCCTGCTAGTACCAAGGAAATGGAATAAGTCTGTAAAACAGCATGGTGTGAAGAAACTGGGATGCAAATAGTGTCCAAAATGTCTAGTGAAAAGGTCATTCAAAAAAGGTATACGAATAATCTGTAGATGGATTCTAATTAATGATTGTGTGTTATATAATTGTTACTATTTGTCTGACAGTTCTGGAAAGGAGCATGTTAAGAGACTGTTATCGCAACTGATCAGGGAAGACTTAGATGACAGAGTGGGCCTGGAAGACGCAACAGATTCCGCTCTTTTCTATATGTTCTGTGAAGACACCCTGTATGGAAGGTACACAGTACATGAGGTGATCTCTGCTGTTCTGAGACTAAACAGCTTCTTTGAGTCGATAGTGGTGTAGTTTAGAGTCCTCAGTCACATTCTCATCCCAGAGATTTGCAATCCACATGGAGGTGTTTCTTAGGTTTGCTCAGTCTCAGAGTAGTTCTTCAAATATAGGCCCAACTACTTCCTTTGCAATTCATTATTCACTGATAATCCATGGTTGAGTGCTGTAGAGGCTAGCAGAGGTTAGGGGGCAAATTGTATCAGCAGAACTAGGCAGGGGCATGAAGCTGGCCAGGG